GTCCTCGCCCGCCTCGCGGCCGAGTCGGGGCACGTCGCGGCCTCCCTGGACGCTGGGTGCCTCAAGCACAAGACCTCGTCGTCGCCCTCCCCGCCTTCCCCCTAGCCCTCCTCCTCCTGCTGCTCCTGCTCCTGCTCTCCTCCTCCTCCTCCTCCTCTCCTCCTCCTCCTCCTCTCTACTCGTTCACCTCTCCTCCTCCTCCTCATTCTACCTCCTGCCCTCTCCTCCTCCTTTTCCCTCCTCCGCCTCCTCCTCCTCCTCCTCTCCTTCCCTCCTGCATCCCCTTTTTCTCCTGCACCATTTTCTCTTCTACTCCTCCTACTCATCATCATCCTCCTCTTCCTCCTCTTCCTCCTCCTTCTCTTCCTCCTTCTCCCTCCTCCTCCTTTCTTCGTCTCCTCCTCCTCCTTCTCCTCCTCCTTCTTCCCTCCCTCCACCTCCTCCCCCTCCCCCTCCTCATCCCCCTCCTCCTCCCCATCCCCCTCCTCCCCATCCCCCTTCGCATTCCCCTCCTCATCCTCTCCTCCCCTCCTTGCTCACCCCTTCCCCGTGCAGGGTGGTCGAAAGCAGAAGGGACTCCAGGGGGCCGGCGGATTGAACATATCATGATGTCGGGGGTTTGGGATTCAGGGTGAGTGAATTGTTTTGCAACCTGGGTCACGTTCCGAACATATCCCAGAACGCTTTTGGCCTCCGAGGTCCAAAAACCGCCTTGTGAAATATTGTATAGCGATGTCCTCAGCCGAGGTCACCAGACCACCTTGAGGGCAGACTTGGGATAAAGATAGGTACATCGCTCCAGGGGTCTGGGAGGAGTTGTTCCTTCCATCCTGGAAGTGTTTTTCCCAACCCTCCTGTGTTGGGTTCTCGTTTTGAATAGAGCAGTGTGGTCGCCCCGTCCTTCCTCCTCCTCCTCCCCTCTCCTCCCCTCCTTCTCTCCTGTTTCCTGTGTTCCCCTCTCCTCTTCTCTCGTGCCGTCTGCGATCTGCGCAACTGTCGCCACTTTCGTGGGCTCCTGGGAGGCCCAGCGGAGGTGGGTCCCACGCGGACCACCTCGGGACATCGCCGCCCCCTGGGGGGGCGTGCGATCTGCGCAACTGTCGCCACTTTCGCGGGCTCCTGGGAGGCCCAGCGCAGGCGGGTCCCACGCGGACCACCTCTGAACATCGCCGCCCTCTGGGGCTTGCGATCTGCGCAATTGTCGCCACTTTCGTGGGCTCCTGGGAGGCCCAGCGGAGGTGGGTCCCATGCGGACCACCTTGGGACCTCGCCGCCCCCCGGGGGCTCGCGATCTGCGCAATTGTCGCCACCTTCGTGGGCTCATGTGAGGCCCAGCGGAGGTGGGTCCCACGCGGACCACCTCGGGACCTCGCCGCCCCCTGGGGGCTCGCGATCTGCGCAACTGTCGCTGTTTTTCGTGAGCTCCTGGGAAAGGCCCAGCGGAGGTGGGTCCCACGCGGACAACCTCGGGACCTCGCCGCCCCCTGGGGGGCTTGCGATCTGCGCAATTGTCGCCACTTTCGTGGGCTCCTGGGAGGCCCAGCGGAGGTGGGTCCCACGCGGACCACCTTGGGACCTCGCCGCCCTCTGGGGGGCGTGCGATCTGTGCAAGTGTCGCCACTTTCGTGGGCTCCTGGGAGGCCCAGCGGAGGTGGGTCCCACGCGGACCACCTCGGGAACTCGCCACCCTCTGCGTGGTTTGCGATCTGCGCAATTGTCGCCACTTTCGTTTGCTCCTAGGAGGCCCAGCGGAGGTGGGTCCCACGCGGACCACCTCGGGACCTCGCCGCCCCCTCTGGGGCTTGCGATCTGCACAATTGTCGCCTCTTTCGTGGGCTCCTGGGAGGCCCAGCGGAGGTGGGTCCCACGCGGACCACCTCGGGACGTCGCCGCTCCTTGGGGGGGCTTGCGATCTGTGCAACTGTCGCCACTTTCTTGGGCTCCTGGGAGGCCCAGCGGAGGTGGGTCCCACGCGGACAACCTCGGGACCTCGCCGCTCCCTGGGGGGATTGCGATCTACGCAGCTGCCGCCACTTTCGTGGGCTCCTGGGAGGCCCAGCGGAGGTGGGTGCCACTCGGACCACCTCGGGACCTCGCCGCTCCCTGGGGGGCTTGCGATCTGCGCAAGTGTCGCCACTTTCGTGGGCTCCTGGGAGGCCCAGTGGAGGTGGGTCCCACGCGGACCACCTCGGGACCTCGCCGCTCCCTGGGGGCTTGCGATCTACGCAGCTGTCGCCATTTTCGCGGGCTCCTGGGAGGCCCAGCGGAGGTGGGTCCCACGTGGACCACCTCGGGACCTCGCCGCCCCCCGGGAGGCTTGCGATCTGCACAATTGTCGCCACTTTCGTGGGCTCCTGGGAGGCCCAGCGCAGGCGGGTCCCACGCGGACCACCTCTGACCATCGCCGCCCTCTGGGGGGCTTGCGATCTGCGCAATTGTCGCCACTTTCGTGGGCTCCTGGGAGGCCCAGCGGAGGTGGGTCCCACGCGGACCACCTCGG